CTTTTAACACTTAGGAACCTATATGAATCACTCTTATTCTTAAGTCTAGGAATAAGAGTAAAATTACGTCATTCTTAGAATTTTGACACACTTAAGACTAAACTTTTACTTTGAGCGGCTTTATACATATGGCCCCTGATTACACTCAGCGCTAGAGACAGTTAGCGAGGCTCACAAAAGAGCCTACATACTAATAGTACTGCCTAAGCGGAGCTCTGGAGAGCGGAGGCTTCAGCAGAATGACTCTCTTAAATGGGAGGAAACCTAACAACACTCACCCAACACAATTCACTTATAATGAAACCTGGTTCCAGACCCTCAGATTGAATCCTCATCAGGGTTGAAAATTAGGTACCAGTACCAGCTCCAGATGGCTGATCGCGTCCACGCCGGATCTTTCCTCTTAGCTCCTTTCTCTTATTCCTGAACTCATGTCTCCTCTGCGACCTACTCCTCCTAGGAGGAGGACTGCGAGTAGCCACACTAACCACCTGGCCCCGTCTCTGACCCGCAGACCAGGATGGGCCAGGTTCCCCCTTGTGTTTGGGCGCAGACATAGACCGGCACGGTATAAAGGACTTATACGCTGCTGAGCGCACCTTAGCTTACCTGAATTTACCGACCACCGTCTCAATGGATGTGCCAAATAATTCAGAGGGCGCAACCGGCGTATCGAGAAGAAAACATTTCTCTTTCTCCCCGATGTCCGCCTAGTTCACCCACATATGTCTCTCCGTGGCCACCATTGCGCCATTGACCTACCGATCGCGGCAGCTGTCTGCTTGGTGGCCCTGAGAGCCAGATCTGTGGTGCGGCGCAAGAGCCCCTGACCCTGGTCTATGTCTTTCAGCAAATCAGCCTGGTATGCCTGCAACACGGACATTGTATGCAAGGCAGCACCAGCCTGACCTGATGCCGTGTATGCCCTACCATTCAGGCGAGATGTCTCCTTTAATGGCTTGGATGGCAGGGCCTTCAACGTCGATGCCACCGCAGCCGAGAGATAGCTCGCAAGCGTCTCTTCGATAGGGGGCATTGACGTATATCCATGCTCACGCATCCCTTCAACGTCAGCATAATTAGCATGCTGATACCGATGGATGCGGGCTGAATATGGTTTATCCCATGCCTTCTCGATCTCACTATGCAGATCTGGAAGGAATGGGAGGCTCACGGGAGCTGGGGGGTTATGTCCAGAAAGAAATCGCTCATCAAGCCTGCTGCGAGCAATTTCCCCTTTCTCGCGCCTCCACTGCAGGTCCAACCTAGCAGTAGCACGATCCATCACCTCCAGCAGCTCATCATACGCGGGGCAGGCAGACTGAGAAGGCTCAGAAATATCCTCTTCACCCTCATCAGACAAATCCTGCTCACCTTGCAACAGAGCACCTCCTGCTGGATCAGAGGATGTAAGTGACAGCACATCCTCTTCCAGCAGTTCACACTCGTCAGCCGCCGGCGAGTGCGAGAGATTGTATATTGCATAAATGCTAAAAACACTAATACAGCACATCCTCTTCCAGCAGTTCACACTCGTCAGCCGCCGGCGAGTGCGAGAGATTGTATATTGCATAAATGCAAAAAACACTAATAGGCCATATGCCTAACAATAAATATTCAATAACGTGTGTCCACCAAAGCGTTTTTAGCCAGCTGAAAAACTGTCAGGCGCTCTTCTTAAAACGGCCAGCTGGTGGTGCTGGAGGATGCTTTGGTGGCACAGTGTTTTTCTAGCTGAGCCTGAGAGACGCTTTGGTTGCTATGATTCAAAATATCCACGGCAGTAACATATTACTAGTATCTCATTTTAAGAATATTACTGAATATAAAAATTCAGTAACCAGCAATATGAACTTCTCTATTGTTGTTCAGTTGTTGTACAAGTAGGATGATTGGTCGGTGTAGTATTTGTCCCGCCCTTCCTCCATTGATTGAACGGCTGAGTAAAAAGTGACAGTGACTAGCTACCAAAAAAAAAAAACTAAAAAAACCGGGGCAAATGAACTTGTAAAATATTATGATGGCAGTGCATCAAAATTCAGTGTCATCAGTTTGCCAAAAAGAACACAGAACGTTTTACGCACCATTTAAACGTGGTAGGGAGCAGGTGTAAATTTCTTTCGTACCAACTAACATTTTGCAAATACGAACACTTTCATGAATCCGAAAATTTACGTCAGAACGGCTTTATGAATGATTTACACAAAAATTTGTTCTGCTCGTGTTTCATGAATGAG